TAAGAGCAAATAAGAACAATAAACAGCGCAGTAATTGGTCGCCAAAAATATATTTACAGCTTAGTTACATTCATTATAAGACGATCGGATATTTCGGTCTATTTAGGCCATCATCGGTAATATCAGTAATAATTGATTCTTAAGTTAACATATTTTCGATCAAAGACGTAGAACTTGTACTGCGCCATACGTGTGTAAAATTGGTTGAAAAAATGAAAGAGATAGAAAGATAGTCTCTATCTCTTTCTATTTAACCAATTATTTAAAATCCCTTTTTACGAGAAACGTTTGAAGATTTTAAATTACGGTTATTTTTTTCCGACAGTTGCGACTAGTCTATTAGGTATACAAGGCCACAAAACGATCTTTTCCTCGAAATAGTTCTTTCGAGTCAGTTATTTCGTTTTTCGAGCCTTCTTTTGTGTTAGGCATCCACTTTCTCTTGATGTTCTGACTCATTTGATTGTTCTTCGAATCATATTGAGTTTTGACTTGCAGTCCAATTGTGAATACCAATTACTTTCATAGTTCAAATTGAATGTTAAATATTCCGAACAAATTTCAATTTTAATCATTTTTAATTTTAAAATGAAAACTATTTATCATACACTGTTAATATTATACTCAATACTGTGAGAAGCAGAGAAATAATAAATCCGACAGGATAGGTTGAAGAAAAGAAATCAAATATTTATTTAAGTCTATTTTGCATTTTCTACCTGCATGCTGACGTTTTTAACGACTTTAAGTTTACCAATCTTTCGTATTTTTATACGAGCCTTTAACAATATATAATATTTTTATCTATTAACTTTAAAATTAATAAATATAAAAGTAAAAAGTAATAGTAGTTTGTACTTGACCTCTCCTCACTGAAGAAGAGTCAATAAGTTCAAAACCTTGAAACGTTTGCAGTTAACTTTGTTGATAAATACTTTCTAATTGTTTGCGAATTATATTTTATCTACTTATAAATATATTCTTTACGCATTAATTACCGCGAGCTCTTATAATTTACTTATATTTAAAAAATAAAAGACCAATTTTTTTATTTCTTGACGTAGGAAGCAGCTCCTTTGAGGCGTTCTCGATGCCGGCTGTACTTAAGCAAAATAATCTTAAAACAGAAAAACGAGCATGTTTGTAGACAGTCGAGTTGTGTATTTTTGTTCTCCTTGCATCGGCAAATTTTGCTGCATGCGTCAGATGCCGATGCTAGAAAACTTGCATGAACACATTCGGGACGATAGACCACGATATGCGATGAATCACCTGCGTCGTTGTCGTCACCGGCTCTTGGAATCTTTCCGGATGTATAAGATGAAAGGAAGACTCGAGGAGCGAGACGTAAGAACGAAAGAGTAGGACGTCACATTTTTTAATCGTTATGAACGCGATATTGCGACACGTTCCGATTGGCCAACGAAATACGAGCGGCAACTACCGATATCTGCATCATCTACCGACACATAATACATATACATATGTTACTGCAGCATTCTTTCGCTTTTTCCTTGTTCGTTGTGGCATGACCTATATATACACGCGCGTGCAGTTTGCCGAATGCGAACATGTATAAAGTGTGACGAATGTGTATACACGAGGCCATAAGTGCCTTAACGCATAAAGTTGCACGTATTATACATATAGAAGCACATTCACACGCGTACTTCCCGTCTAAATGTTCACGCATCATGTGCGTAACCAGCGTGACTGTCGGTTATTCAAAATATTTTATTGCATTATTACTATTTATATTACTATTTTATTGCTACATTATATTATTAACTCTTCGCCGGCTGTGAGAAATTTTGCATTTGCAGTCAGCAATCTGGATCTTTGAGTTTTAATACAGATTTTTATATTATTTCGGATTATATAAAAATTTCTGAAAAAAAAATTGTGCATACTTTTGAAACTTTTAACGAGTTTTTACTATCGTAGAAGTCAGATTGTATTTCATTAATTTTTTTACAGATTTAATTAATTTATCTGTTAGAATTTATAATCAAAATATCGACTCTTCAAAATGCAATTTGGTCAAGTTAATTCTCTTTAGTATATATAGGTATTGTATAATTATAAAAGTTAATTATTATATTTTTGTTCTATTTTTGTTCTATAACATCGTTATATTTTATTTGTTAAACTATTTGTTAAAGTTAGCTATTGCTTCGAAACAGCATTCTCGAATAATCAGTAATCATGACGAGCGAATAATTAGGCAAGGAGCACGCGCTCCAAATATCTTCCGATACGCGATGCAATTCACGGTTTAAGTCATTTACGATCTGGCGCGCATGTGTACGTTATACGGAGCCTGAGGCGTTCAAGAAGTTCACTTCATTGACTGTCTGACGTGACGAGAACGGAGAAGATTTATCTCTATGGGACACACCAAAATTCCTGCCCCGAATTCCGTTTAAACTGTTACATTGCAGGCCATTTTTCATCCACATTGCGTACTTGAACTCTTCAGCTCGCGTTTGATTTACTATTGTGTTGTGTATCGATGCGTGCGTCGAAACGTGCCCAAGGCACTATGTATTCTTGTTTATGCTGTTACTCTCGACGAAAGCGAGAGAAAAGGAAAAAATATGTGCGTAACTGTAACGAGCGTAATGCGATCCATCTATCAATCCCTCTTGATTTTCAACTCGTCCTGCCCACACAATACAAAGTCGAAAATTGGATCACAAGACGTCTTATAAGACATCTAAAAGATGTCTTAGAGCGGTATTTATAGTCTGTCCTTATTTTAAAACTGTCTTACGTCTTAAGATGCTAATATAGCCCTCTGTTTGACTTAAGATTGTACTTAAGATAATTTCGAATATAAGAATCGATTTTGAATCCGACTTTAAAGATATCGTTGTGAGAATTGTCTAAAAAGCGTCTTAAAGACATCTTAAGTCTAAATACAGATAGCAGAAACAGGAAATAATGGATTTCAACCTATCAGAAACTGCGTATTATAATGTAGTGCAGATTAGGTATAAATCTGTTTCCGTATAAATCTATTATTCCTGTTTCCCCTTATTGTCTGTGCATTAGGCTTAAGACGCACCCTGTTTTTATTGTCTGCGCTTTTCATTGTGCATTATAACCCAATTTTAGATTTTGCTGAGTTGGGTCTGTTCATGTCGCTTGCACGTATTGCACTCAGAATCTTCGTTTTTTTTCTCTTCAACATCCGAGTACATATTTACTTTGTTTTAAGTGCAAAAATTTCAAGAGATTTCAAACAACGCGAATAAACTTTTTGTGTTATTTGGGATTGCTACTGCGTTGTCTAGATTCGAGTAGCCAGCTTCATGAGTATATACAACGTTGTCGTAGACACAAACGTAGAACGGTCATCCTTATCGAGAACGCCTGATTTATTTAATCATTGAAAGCCTTAAGTAGCGGCTTATTAAAAGGATCTATAATGTACACAGGTATAGTCGTAATCGCAGCACATACTTGTCCCTCCTTTTCTGCCCCTCCCGCCTCTCCCCAGCCACTGTTGCTTCCTCCCGCACACACCGCGGTGCTAGTCTTTCGCTGCAAAACCGATAAATTATGCATTCCATTATTCATGTTCGCTCGCCGTAATCATGTACGGTGGTTGACAAGATCCTGTCATGCTTTACAGGCCTCCTGGCTTCGCGTTTGTTTGCTACTCCGAGAAATAAGGAGGACCGTTTACGGCAGTGAGACTGCAAGCTATTCAATTTACCGGCTCTGAATACAGCCGAGCTTTGAGGATATGGGAGTCCGAAGGATACGCGGAAGGAGTGAGAGAGAGAGAGAGAGATAGGAGGGGAGGTATGCTCGTCTAGTCTGTGCGTAAAATTCGAAAGGCCGAAGAAGAGATGCCGGAAAGCGATAAATTATTTATCAGCCACACTTGAGAGGCTATCGCACAAAGTTTCGCGCTTGTCCTGTTCCACGCGCGCGCATATTCAATGAACTTTGAAATGCTAGATATTAACGATGTAAAATAGAACGGAAAATTATCATGATGCCTGTGGCTGCATGAGCTGTTAAATCGATATAACGCGCGCAACAATCTTTTAATTCAAACGATTCGAATGAAGTTTGCCGCTTATAACTTGTTAGAACAGAATCGTAGTGTTTGAACGCACAACAACTGTATACGTTCTCTATCTTTTTGATATATGCATGTTTGTCGATATTTTAAAAATAATAACGACGTGTGTGTATTTATCTGATTATTATTCTTGAATGCGCGAGATAATTGGAAGAAGCCGTAGAAATTACAAAATTGTATGTAGTAATTTATAAAGTTGTGTCGAATTTAACATATTTCACACGTCCACTCTTTTTGTGTTAATTTAACACAAGATGAATATATCGATAGTAACACAAATATTATAAAAACATTGTAAAAATTATCAACGTAATTGTTAACATTTATTTTTTTTTATCTGTCTTAGAATTTATGTTAAACTATTTTCTTATATTTAATATTTTAATATATGTAGAATTAATATACATATTTTAATAAACTATTTTATATGTAATTAACTATTAAATAGTTTATTCACTTATGTGTATTAATTCCACAGATAAAACTTGTATAACTATCACCTATATACTTTTACTATCTACGTCTTTTTCTTTAACAATGAATGTAGACATAATGGAAGAAAAAAGAAAGAGAGAAAGAAGCAGAACGGCCACAAGTTCTCGATGACGAGAAAAATTTTGTACGAGTAGGTTTCTTCCTGTTTTGCTAAAGTCAGGTATGTACATAACTAACGTTCGGCTTAGGTATGCGCGTAGGAGTGGAAATCAGGGGAATCCGGGAACATTAATACGTCGCCTAAAGGTTTTGAATCCGAAGTCGATGCTCTAGGCGAGATCTCGAGAGTGAGTAGGAAGTAAACGGGCGGCGCGTTCGAATCGTACCGTTCGGCCGCGCTCGGTGGACTTCGCACG